AATAAAAATATAAAAAGTATTAAAAAAATATTTTAAAAAATGTTAAAAAATAATCACTATTTAAGAAATGGCTTCCTCAGGAGCTTAAAGTATGCTTCAGATTTTTTAAAATGACAATATGTTATTACTTTAGAAGGCTCTTACATAGAAAATGCATATACCTAAGTCTTGAGATAACTAGTTATATGCTATTGGTAGAAATTGTAAGGTTGTGAAATTGTTTCTCAGATTTCAAACCAAAACATTGCAAAAAAGCCTCATCCTCAAAAAAATATTTTTCCTGCTGTACCATTATGAAACTGCTATAACTTCAGCTACAAACATTCCTATTACTAGTCAAGTAGCTACACTGCTTTCTCTCTGCTCATTCCCATCGTGTTTACTGGGACACGGATTGCTTATCAGGCAGTGAACTGCACCAAGGAACTGACTAAAAGTAAAACCAGGATTTCTTTTGGATTTGATTATTTTTCACCTACATTGGCTATTTTATATGATTTGAGCACGGCCACATCAGTAGTTCCACCACTGGAGAGTGGCAGTGAGAAAACACAGCTGTGAGATGGAGACTGATTCTGGTCAGCAATGGAACTAGCCTCGAGATTCCGTTGGTCTATGCCTGTGCATGAAATTCTTTGAAGCTTCTACATCCGTAATCGCAACAAAGAAGTCACTTTATCCTGTCTGTGTAACTGTGTACTTTGTAAAAGCTCATTTCATCATAGGGACCCTCTTGAGCTTTACTTCCTTGTTTTCTAGATGCATTTTAAAAAAAAAACCTAAAGCAAGAAACATTTTACTTTTTCTGAAAATTGGTAGTAAGTCCCTTTCCAAATAACCAGAGTCCAGGAGTACAATCCATACTAAAGGACTAAATTGCTTTATAAACAGCACTTACAGAGCTGTTAGAAATGGCACTATTCAATACTTGATTAGTATCTACGACTCCTATTACATTACAGTATTAATGATAATATATATTTCTAAGCTAATTCTTTAAACAATTTGCAGTGTTTTGGCAATTAAAGTTTGCTTTGGTGCTCAGAATTATTTTATTTCTCTTTGACAGAATTTAATCTTTTCACTAAAATCTGAAACTGAGTCTGCATACACAAACCACTAAAAATGTTACCATTCACATTGCCAGGTGTAATCAGCACTTCATTAACTCACCCCTTTATCTCCTCTTGTTTTGGAATTGAACTTCACTGTCTTTAAACGGGCTCGTTCTTTTTTCTCAACTCTACCACAAAAACATACACAAAAATGGTAAATCAGCAAAACGCCAGCACTTGAAGTTACTAGTTGTTATGATGTAAGCATATAGGTGTACCTTTTGTAGTACAGATTTTTATTGCTGATGACACCTTCAGAAAATGGAAGCCTGCTAATGGCAAACTGTATTGCAAAAGTAGAGTATTATTTCTCAAGTGATAAGCTGTGAGGCTATTGGCGTATTCTGTGATTACAAAGGTTCAATAAATCCGGAGGGTGCAAAGAGAAAACATGACATCATAAATGAACAGCCCCAATTAGAAGTCATAGAATCATAGAATAGTTTGGTTGGAAGGGGCCTTTAAGGGTCATTTAGACCAATCTCCCTGCAGTGAGTAGGGACATCTTCAACTAGATCAGGTTGCTCAGAGGCCCATCCAGCCTGTCCTTGAATGTTTCCAGGTACGGGGCATCTATCACCTCTGCGGGCAACTTGTTCCAGTGTTTCACCACCCTCATTGTGAAAAATTTCTTTCCTATATCTAGTCTAAACCTGCCTTCCTATAGTTTAAAACCATTACCCCTTGTCCTGTTGCAACAGACCTTGCTAACAAGTCCCTCCCTAGCTTTCTTGCAGGTCCCTTTAAGTACTGGAAGGCTGCTGTAAGTCTCCCCAGAGCCTCCTCTGCTGCAGGCTGAACAACCCCAACTCTCTCAGCCTTTCCTCATAACAGAGGTGCTCCAGCCCTCTGATCATCTTCGTGGTTCTGTCACAAAGTCAACAGCAGATACTAAAATTCAGAGCACCTAATCTCTTATTTGGGTCTCTAGTATGCCAACAAACACCTTGTCTCTGTTTACTCTAGCCACCAAAGATTTGCCAGTTTTCCAGGTTTTGGGTAGAAAGAATTCATGATAGTGTCATGATTCAAATAAAATTCACTTGCACCTTTTCATACATACATGGTGTAATGTTATTAAACCCACATGTAATGTTATTAAACCCATAACTTGCATACAGTGAGAACAGAGAAATGGACTTGGACCACCTTTATCAACTTCAGCACACAACTTCTAAGGCTAAATAGGATTTTCACAAATTTCTCAGTGAGTTAGAATCCCACTACAGATTACTTTTAAAACAAACAAACAAGTGGCTGATGTGGTACAGAATTAACAACAAAGAGCAAAGCATATGCAATATATGTATTAATCGTATCAGACATTTAATAAAAGACATCTCGAAGTCAATAAAATATGACATACCTGCGTTTGCTTGGGATAACTCCAATTTCATCACTTTCTCCATCTGGAGTTACCTGCCGTGCTTGCCACCATTCATCATCAGAAGCATTAATGACATGGAGAATATCACCAAATTTGAAGTTCAGTCCTTGACTTGGAAGGCCGCTATCTTTAGTCTTGTCATAATCAAAAAGAGCTCTACATTGAAAAGAAAAAATTAAACATAGAAAAAGCAAGAAAAAAACCAGGGGAGTATGAATAGCACAAAATACGAAGCAAGCTGCCTGTGTTGTTCATAAATGATTGCATCATTCTAACCGTTGCTTAAAACAAGAATGCTGAATGCACTCTCTCTCTCTCTCTTATATACACATAGAATATGCACACACACTTGTAAGTTTTAATGAATGAGAACAAACTTCATCCAGAGCAAAATTCTAGTGCTTTATGAAAGGTCCACAGAAGATGCCTCTTGCAATTCAGTAAGTATTTTGCACAGAGCAAGTTACATGTCAGCCTAGGATAAAAAAAGGCAAGCATTTGAAGCATATAGCACTGTCAAAAGTTCTGTAATGTTTATTGTTTTATATCAAGTTATAAATTAGAATTATTTTAGTAAATAAAAATTACTGTCTGTCTTTAAAATAAAAGTCAATACCCTGCTCACAGGGTTGCAGGAGGGGGAAAAAAACCAAACAAACCACAACTTAGAAATACGATCCATACACAACTATGCTACTGTAGTACCCAAAGGCAAAGAACTTCATGTGCATTCTTTTGGAAAATTCCCAACCATTTCAAGAGAATCTCATCCTTTTTTCTAAGGTAAGCCTGTTTTAAAGTATTAGGCACTAGCAATACCTGAACACCAGCTGCATGGTTACAGTTTTATTAACATTCCCTTTGCCAGTAAGGTCGGTTTATGCAAACCTGCTATTACCCATACCGACATTCATGCCTGCCTCTGTACTGACTCCTTTCCCTCTTCTTGCTTGTGAAAGCACAACTGTCTGGAAAGGCACACAGTGCACCATACTGCGGAACTAAGCTGGGTTAAAATCAATTTCTTCTCTCTCTGTTAAATCGTTTTATGTCTGGATCAGTTCCCTGAGGAACTGAAGAGACCTGCAGTATGTTTCTCCCAGCACAATCGAGGGTTAGCGAGGATGTGGAAATGAATGATGACAGGAACCTCTTACCAAACTGTGATACTCCTAAGATTATGCTTTATAAAGGACTCTTATTTTACATTTTTAAAAGGTGTATGAAACTCATCTATGTAAAGTAAGAAGTGCCTGTATGACACAGGCCAAAAAATCCTCCACTTTATTTCATCTGCAATCTCGATTTAGAGACTTGATACCAAGTCCATCACAAAGTAGCGTCAATAGATTACAGTGTGGTGATTTAAAATGGTGTCCTTGTCCAAATTCAGTTTGTTTCTTCATCCCAAACACTAGTCTTTTGTACCTTTTTCTGCTAGATTTTTAACGGCTCAATTTTTTTAACCTGTGTAAGTACCTGTAAGTCATAACTGTTTGCTCCAAAACGTATTTTAGCTTTGTAAAATTTGCCTTTCTAAAGCATTGAGTGTATTTCTTTGGGTTTGAACTTTATTTGTTCATAGCCATTGACAAATTGTTTACAAGGAAAAAATCAAAATTTTCTGTCAGACCAATTAATTTTTAGCATAAGTTCTACTGCAAAGTAAGAGTTGAGACACCATGCCTTTCTTGGGCCATAAAAAGTATCAAAAAATTTTCATAAAGGACTAAACGTTTCAATAAATATTTTCTAAAATGTCTAGAACAAGAGAGAAATTTTTAAATGGCTTAGAAATATTTACTCTCATGATACACAAAGCCTTATATTTAAATATGCAATACTTTTAATTTTTTTAATTTATAATAAAATTTAGGTTTTCAACTTTGAAAGAGCTTGGAGGCTGAAATACCACCTTCATTTAGTAGTGCGATCTCCACTCTAAGGTCTTTCTATTTAATTCCATAACATACTAGAGATATCTTGATTCTTTTCAAAAAGCCAGAACCCTTTTTTTCTTTGAAATAGCTCAAATATTGCAGGTAAGAAAATTATACACCTAGTAGTTTTTCCTCCAGATTTATTCTGCACATGTTTGTTCAAGCAGCACTCTGGATAAATATCATTCCATATCTCAAAATAAATTGCACATAATCCATTATGTACTTTTAATGCAGATTCAAGCTGTATACATTTTCACTGAATTAAACGCATAATGAAATTTATTTCTTGAGAATTCTTGTTAGCATTCAAGCAATGATTTCTACCAGCATTACTTTTAATTTCTAAGTTTTAGTTTGAAAATGTACTTATATGAGCAGTGAGCTGGGCCTAACAGCATTAACACATGTGTTGACTGCATGAGAAAAAGAAATACACAAGAGTGAAATGGAAACACAAATGGATAAAAACAAATTATCAACATGTGCTCTGCAAACTAGATAAATGGTTACTCAGAACAGTTTTTGTACAATGAAAGGCAGTTTCATCAAATACTTTTCCTCTGGTGAGGTCACTTCAAGAAAAATCTTTTTACTTGGGGGGAAAAAAGTCAAAGCTGATAAAGATAGTTTTATAATAAGATGAATTAGGGTGTCACACAGTACTGATTAAATTATGCAGCTAAAATTCATAGGAACACCAGGAACTAGTAATGATCAAATAAATGAGCCAAAAAGCAAAGAGAATTACCAAAAATCTCTTTCGATTCCAACTGATTAACATGGCTTTTCCTGTATGTCTGGCAAGTCATCAAACAAGAACTCATTTTACAGCCAAGAAGACATATTTATCTCCAGACTGGTATATAAAAAATACCTCTTTTATTAACTCCCTGTATGGAGACTTTTATTACAGATTAACAATATTGTGTATACATTTATTTAGAGTAAATTATAAACACAAAGGTACTTAAAAATAAATCTGATATTCCTGATTAACTACTTCTTTGAAGACAGTCCCATGATATTTTACTCTGAAGTTCTATTTAAATTTAATGAGAAGTCCTAAAACTTAACTTTACAGAGAAAGCACCAAGTCCTCTCTTTTATTTTACCTTGTATTACTCAGCAACTAAGCAGCACCAAAAAAAGGTAACTTGGTTCCTTCATTTACAAGTCTACAGAAACTGAAGTTAAGTTGCATGTTCCATGAGTGTTTATGTTTCAAAGCCAAAAATTTAATGACTCTGTTAACAGTGCAAAATTTTCCAGAATGTCTTTTTACTTGGCCACAGTCATTACTTTCAATATCATAGGCTGTTGATCAAGTTTTACTGAAGCACTTCTTTTCGGGTATTCTTGCTGAACAAAGCAATTGGGAATTCCTGCAGCAAAAGCATCTCCACGTTTTATTTCATGAAATGTGAATTAATCTTACCACTTCAGAAGGCATGAAGGTCAGCTTATAAAGGAGGTTCTCTTTTTCTCTCTGAGTTTTTGGGAAAGCTGTTTGAAACCAGATGTTTGAATTATCAGAATAACACAGGGATGCCCAATTGAACTCGTCCTGCAGGCAAGTACACTTTTCAGGCCCAGTGCTAATGCCTGATCTGATTTTTCAATGGATTTAGTTTAAATTTCCTAATAATTTCAAAACTGTAAAGTTTCTTCCACTTGGAGTTGTAAACATTTTCTGCTCCGATTCAAGCAGAAACGAGCACCATTGTTTGAATTTGAATTGTAGCATGCTGGACAGAAAAATGCACAGATGTAGAAGTAATTTTCAATTTTGAATTCTACCACATTGCACAGACAAATTTGGCACAGATGACAAGATAAAACATGGAACAAATTTACTCCCTGTCAACATATTGATACTAAGGGAACTAGAGAGTTAATCTTAGAAACACAAGCGTGTTACAATGGTATGTAGTAGTGTGTAACTTTGTACCAGTGCATGACCACATCTGGCATAAAAGTGATAACAAGACCCTTAAATCAAGGACGTTGCGCTCATTATCAGGGACTGCACTTCAAGGCAGGAGCTCTTAAATCATTACCAAAGACCTTGTTAGGAGAACAGGACCTGAGACTGCTGTCAATCAAGAAAAAGGAAGATGAGAGCTAAAAGTTCAGCAAAAGGACATGGTGATGAAGAAGAGTGGAAGAAGTAAAAGACCACCAGATGTCTCTGAAGACCCCCAAAAGGACTAAAATGGACATACGGAAATGGGAGTTGCCTATGATAATGAGTTCCGGGAAAATTGTTAGTATGTTAATCATCTCTTGCAAGTCTTATGAATATGTATAAAAACTAAAAATATAAGCCTGCAACTAACACAAGCACGGTATGCACGCTAGGTGGAAGGATCCCCCGTGCATCCAGCGCTGCTAATAAAGAATACTGAATCACTGCTAAATTTGATGTTTAATTTCTTGGAATCAATATTATCATAGAAACTTGATACCATGAAGGTATCTCACCTTTTCACACGTGTTTTTGATTCTGCGGATGAAGGAGGGGAGTGTATAAATGTAGTTCAGATGCAAAAAGAGAAACATTGTATAACAGAATCTCTCTCCACTTAGAACAAAGATCAAAAAAAATACAAAGCAAAAATACGAGAAGGCCATTAAATCAGTACATCTTAATCAGTTGGGGGCAGAGAGAGAGAGAGAGAGAATTAGACAAATGAAGGGTTAGCTGCTGCTGAATCACTGTATTTGTATTGCCCTCCAAGGACTGTTTGTTATATTGCTATTAATCCTGTATCAATATACACACAATCAAGAAAAATCTGCCATTTTACTTTGAAGTGTATTTTCAGGCAAACGCAATTGTCTTTTCCTTAATATTACATAACACCCCCAAAATGCTGTTTACAGGCACACTATTCATAAAGCTATCAAGTTTCAGTTACGGGGATGCAATGAGGTATCTGATTTTATTTGCTTTTTTGTTACTGTGATTTTGAGAAATCACCAGAGATTATTATTTTTAAAGTATTTGGATTTGATAGGCTTTCTACAATTACGGCTGAATGCCTATAAGCATTTTACTGTTGTATTTGCCATTCAATTTAGCATTACATTATATAATTGGAATCCTTTAAGGCATATCCAAAACCAAGTATCACAGAAAAAAAGACAGCTTCAGTTACTAAAATTGCCTTTGAATTGGCACAATTAAAAGTACAGAATGATCATACCAGAGTGACTTATAATAAGGAATAAGCTGGATAACTAACATGTTCTGCCAGTATCTAGCAATATGTGAAAAGATTCCTAAAACTTACTTCAGTAAGCTCAAAATTATCCCAGAAACCAGACAGAACAGATGTGAACCCATCCTGTGTATACCAAGTTGCCTATCAGTCTTTGGCATCATTTGGTGTGATGACAAGAGTAGATTTCAAGAGCCCTAGCAGCACCCACTGTTAAGAGATGCGGGTAGAAAAGTACTTTTCCTGAGGAATTTTTGCATTTTAGATTTTTGTTCCAGCTCATAACAAAGCTGATTACCAAGTCTCAAAAACCTTTCTCAGAAAGGGAATCGCCAGTCTCCATGAGGTTTCTGCCAACAACCTGTAGAAGGCTGCATTTTCTACAGCAGCTGGCAAAGTCAAAAGCTCAACAACTTCCACCAGTGGAATAAAAACTACATAAACACAAAATGCTTTTCTGTGGCTTAAAATACTAGACCAATGTGTGAACATCAGCATAAGCTGTTTAGAACTTAATCAGGTTATAGCTAACCAAGAAAATAAAAGCATTTAGAATTGTTCAGGCTTAGTTATATGATGAGGGCTAAAGTGATAAATCTTGGGATTATGGAAGATCTCACTACAATATCCATACGTACACCTACCTGTGGAAATTCTAAGACGTGGATAACTGTGATATCAAGCACTTATCCTTAGTATTTAAGGCATTTATCCTTAGAGATTTAAAATTTGACCCCCAAGAATATTTAAGGCAGATAAAGTACAAAAAAAAAAAGACACAATGATCAGCTCTGCAAAAACAGAAACCAGATAAAGCTACCAAAATAATAGGTCAAAACATAAGGGCTACATGTTACAGTCAATCTAAACAGAAGCCCTGTATGAGTCATTTGCTGCATTTGTTTCAAAGCCTTCAGAAATAGGTTGCAAAGGACTGATACTTTTCTGAGCACAGACGCAATTACTCAAGTAACTGGCTTGTGTAAGACTTGCTTCCTTTCCCATAGCTCAACAGATACACCACCATGAACAAAACAGTACCTGCTCTGGATGGGAAAAGTCAATAGCACCTGAACCTAGGATTTTAGCAGGTAAGCCAATGAGGTCCTAGAGCCTAGGATTTTAGCAGGTAAGCCAATGAGGTCCTACAACATTTTAAACCACCTTTGACCCAAGAACTGGCACTACTGAAGCTTTACCTGCACTACTAAAATGCCAAGAGGCTACTCCTGGGTCTTATTGAATCCAGAGATAAGCTGGTTCAGGGAACTCAAAAATCAATTTATTTTTAAAAATGCAATCCATACTTGAAACGTTATGGTTTATCAGTATATGATAACTGATGTAGAAGTTAGTTGGCACATTAACAAGCTGCATCTTGCCATAATCTCCTGGTGAAATCTTAACTGCTTCATGCTCTTTTATATTTCCGCTTCCTTTACGTTTAACACTATACGAATAAATTAATGAAGAATATTCAGTTCATTTGCTTTGATGCATTTGCTCTCTTGGTTACCATAGAAAATATTCTATAACAAAATGCTACTGGGTATAGAAATAAGACTTCTTAATATACGTTGAGAATACAACTAAAGTACACTGAAGGAAATAAGATGGAAATCTGTCAAAGCTTAAGTAAAGGGAGATTATAAATTTGAACTCAAGAAGTGAATACAGGAGAATATGAAGACTACTGTCACAACAACACAAACTGAATTAAGCAAGTTGTTAAGACTTCACATACACTGACTTAAAGAATAAATATGCATTTTTGCTGGAGGATTATCTCTGAGTGGCAGGACATAAAGCAAGTAATAGCACCACTCTTCAAAGTTCATACAGGCTTCTCAGGGCTACTACTTCTTTTTCAGCTATATTACATTAATTGATCTAAATTAAACTTTGTTCTTGATGTATTTTGTACATAAGTATCAATTTGTTAAGTTCAATAATGAGTAAATAATTGTATAAAAATGCAAATACAGAAACACTAAGTCTACAGAAAAACACACTAGTAGGAATACTGTGAAAAAGATGATTACCTGACATATAAGGATCTCTTCTGGCTGGTTCGCAAAGATCCTGATCCTGAACTAATGCTACTGTTCATCATCTGTTCCCGTAAATCATGTATTTTAGCTTCAAAACGACTGTATTCTGTAAGAAAGGGAGGCATTGCAATTAATTTTCCCTGAACTTCACCAATTAACTGACATAAAATTTGAAATAATTGTGATTAAATAAAGCAAATAAACAAGCAAATTATACTTTAAAATTCTGTGGGTTTTAATCTGCAGTTCACAGTACCCATTTTTTTCCCAATTAAGACATTTATACTAATAATTATCATTTTTATCATAATAAAAAGACTGATACAGATAAATTTTAACCCATGACAACAAGAAAACTTCAGAACATACAGGTGAAATACGTAAGTTTATAATTAAGAACTATGTACTTTAAATTTTAAATGTTAAGAAATGGGAATGAAAAGTGTCTGTACTTTAAAATTACTGGACTTGAATTAGATAAAGAATTTAGCACTACAAGGTGGGAAATATGCAAAACATCTTCTGAATTAGACAATGTTCCCATGGGACCTCAAGAAAGTGAAAAAAATAATTTCAGATTTCTGGCATGAATCTCGATGCACTTGTAAATGGCATTAGAGATCCAAACTCCCTCTACAGAATTATGCACAATGTTAATCCTGGAAAAACGGATTGTGTTCTTAAGCAGCACTGTGTACTAGTAAAACTAAGCTAAACGCATTTGATTTTAGCTACAAAGGCAGGCAAGTAAAATAGCAATAGCTTCTTCAGGACAAACATTTCCTGAAGTGAGGTACTTACATGCTGTCAGCATAAAATATGAACTCAAAACAAGTAAGTTTTTCCTTCAGTTCAACAGTTTGGACTTCAGGATCAACAGATCCACTTGTAAAACCTTCCTAGTTAAAGCAAACGTTCTGCAGCCACCACCTTCACCAGGAGACCACGTGATGCCAGATTATAACAAGTCAACACTGGGAGAGCCAGGGTGCATGCAGCAAGCAGCTGCTGCACCG